TTTTTTTTGAAAAATTAAAAAAATCAACAACCCCGAATATTTTAACCTGAGAATGAGGGTAAAATGGAAGATGACAAATTCATGGAGGATAGGAATTCATGACATACATGTAAGGGATGGGGAATCAATAGGAATGAGGTGTCACAAGGGACATCATGAGAGATATTGGAATCATTGGAGACGGGGACATAATGGTCGCGTTCGGGCGGCTTGTTCCTGTATGCTCACAAACAGCTCAATTTGTTGTCCGAGGGTCGGCCGCTCGAACGCCAGGAAAAAACGACCGGTTATCGCTGGTAGTTAGTGACAAGCAACATGGCGGCGTCCCTGTAGGCTACAGTACGTTATTCAAGAGTTAATGTTTGGATGGGCTGAATTCTTTTCTATATAAACAGGAACATTCATTTCTGTGTTACGGAAAATAATTAATGTTAATTTTGCAAAACTTTCCATTGTCTATGGCTTTGGAAGTCATCTCTCTACTTTTTGCAGCTGTTCATAAATCAAAATCTCACAAGTTTTTCTGTGTGTTGCTGTAAAACCCTGATGAAGAGGTGGTGTCTAATCCTGTTCCGTTTGAGGGCGAGAACAAGAAACCCGTGTCAAGAATTCGACCAATGGTTGATGTAGGAATAGTGGGAATGAAGGCGTAATGGGGGATAGGGGTGCAATAGGGGACATCGTGGAAAGTACATACATGTACATGTAACACTAGGCACTGTGGCAGATAGGGCATCACGGAATGAGAACATAAATGTAAAAGCCCAAATGTTAGTACAAGTGTTTAAAACAACATAAAATTTTCCAATTCCTTTATTCTGCTTCGGTACATCCACATCCATTATGTCTTATACATGTACATGTAGGTAAACATTTTCAGGGCAAAAGGTAATAAATTATTCCTGCATATTACACACAGGAGAAAAATGGAAAATCTCAGGTAAATATACCGGTATAATTTGTGGCTGACTTTGGATGGATCTGCATGATAAATATGTAGACTCAGCTGGGCATACTGGAGGAGATGGGGAGATGGTTCAATATATTCACTGTATTGACAAGGTCTGACCCAATACAAACTGATTATAAACCAAACATGCTTTGAGTCGGCGGCAAAGATGAAAGCAACTGCAGAAAATAACTTACATCAAATGGCAATAGGAGGAAAAACAGTGTGAGCTTCACAATCAATGTGTGTACTCACTGTTAAATACCAGTACAAACTTCGATATTTCATACTTTTTAGGTTTCTGAATGTGTTCCTGACTAAATATCAATTTATAATGTAAATCCACAGCAATTTTCAGGTCATCATGAAAGCCATGAAAGCCATGAAAACAGAATGTGCACATATTTACTGTAGATCAGGGGACTATGATGTCATGTACAAGTACATTTTGCAAGTTACATTTACTGCATGGTACATGTACCGTACATAGCAGTACTTTGATCCTAGTTGTGTGACGGTTACTTGAGCTACTTTACTGGTTAGCCTCTATGCCTGATACCAAGACAAAAATCATATGCTGTGGGTTTCTTATGAAAAAGGAGATTGTGTGGCCCCCAAAATGGTGCAATTGTGTACATCTTTGTGAGGACCAACTCCCTGATTCTTTGGACTCACATCTGGGAGTAGAAGGGTTAGAAACAATCAGTTAAAAATAGTCCTAAGCGCCAGAAAAAGTCTAGGGTTGCCACTTAAAAAATGGCTGCAAGCAGACTTCAGAAAAGTTGCTTTTCAGGGGGTGGTTTTGTTTTGTGGAAATATTTTAAAAATGCAACTGGTTAACCCAAAGAAAATTGAAAAAAAAAGTTGAAAGGTAAGGGACCAGACAATAATTTAATTTGTGTTTCAAAAACCTCAGAGATGTTGGTATCCATGCTATTAGGCCCTGAACGATGCTAATTTGACACAGTTTGCATTGGGCCTTGAGTTCGTGGATTGCACCCAGAAGCTGTGGCAACTCCATCCATGACATAATGTACCTGTACTTGCACAGACCAGCGAACACACAGAATCACCCTGTCGTCTTCACCTATGATGTCACTCATAGCAATTATATCATTACTGACAGGTACAGTGCATTAGTAACTTGGGTTACAGTCCTTTTGTTTTAAAGCATGCGATTGCACTCCCATGCCATCACACGCCTAAAAGCTTCCCAAGAAGTGCAAGTAATTGCACGCCTGAAACCATCCATACCGCACTCCTCGGCAGGAGTTTACTTTATAATTATACTTCGCAATTTGTGAGAAAAATGAGACGAAAAGAATCAAACATTAGGCCTACCTAACAGTTAGTGATGACAGACTCATTTTTTTATTCTCCTGGCTAAACAGTTGAGTGCAACAGCTCTGTCAGTGTACAATTGTTCAGCACACCCACGTCGCACAGCGCTGCTGCAAGCATTGCTGCATGCATAATGCTACATACACCAGACTGTACATGTACATGGCTTTACGAGCTTCTACACGTCAAATGCAGTGCCACAAGATCACACCACTTTTCAGTCAAATTTTCCCAATGAATTTCCTGATTATCCCAAGTTTTTTGTGGAGATGTCTGTCCTGTAAATTGTTCCAATCACAACAATGACATTTTTCGGGGAAAAAAAAATTTAGGGTTTTACTCGCATCTACACAAAATGATCTCCAGAAGTGGGCATGCTTTCCCGATGCAGGCTCCCGCACCCTACACATAGTGAACAATGAATTCCTTTGAAGTTGAGACTGGGACCAGTCCAGTCAATCATGATACACAACACAGTGCGTGAAAGCCATGGAGAGATCTTGCCAACGTGAATCGCAGCAGATTTTTGTGTACAGATACATAAACGTCCTGATCTTTCCCAATAAAGTTTTTTAGCGTTATGAATGGAAATAACTCACAGGAAAGACATCTGGCAAAGACAAACCACAGGAAAATCAGGAGATTTATTTGAAAAATTTAATGGAGAATTGGAGTGATCTTGTGACTCAGAGGAGCTCTGCATGGTCTGTCTAGGCTGCTATTATGGAAAGGGCATGATTTTGTGACCGTCATAAAACTTTGAATCTTTTTACATGTATTGCACATATCTCTTCGAGTTTGCTTGAAGTAAGCGGGCATGATCTGAAACTGTTGCACCATTTCTTGTTGGTTTTGTTGATATGTAATGTTGACCCGATTTTATCTTTCTATTTTACTATGTCTTGACTGACCCAAGGTTTTGATTCATTTTTCAAAATTACACACCTAGAAAAATTGCACGCCTGGAAATGTCCAGGAATGTTTTTTTTCCACACACCTGCAATTTCCAAATCACAAGGACTAGTGTTAAAATATCTGAATTCAAACGAGAGACTGTGGGAACTAAAGTTACAAATTCATTTCTTAAATCCAACATGTACACCCATGTATATATTATACATGTATATGCAGGTTGTCATGTCTGCTTGTCACTGTTTCAATACTGGGGCATATGATTACTGTTTGTATGGCACTTAAGGGTGATGCTGGCAGACACATAAATCATACCATTTTTGTATTTTGTTTTAACACTGATGTAGCTTAGCTCCTACAATTTGTCATGCAGAGAACCATTTGCTTTGTATTAAACAGTAATTATTACTACCACATTGAAGTGATGTGTTTTAGCATGGTACGTGTTCATTCTTAATATCTGCATACAATCCAAGGTTCACATTCTAGATTTGGGCAAGAACAAATATGACTGCCAAATTCATTCTAAACTCATCTGAAGAGACTAATGAAGTCTGGTCATGGTGCTCATGGCGCCACCAACAATGAATGAGTAAGTAATTGATCTGTGAGTTCAGAATGATATCATATTCGCAAACAACCATGGTCCAAACACAAAGCTGACATAAGAAAAATTGCACATGCACTGTACTTGTAATAGTTATGTGTACTTAAAGCCAAATTCAGGAAACAACTAGCAGCATGTTTCACAAATTGCTTGATTGAATCGCATTTGAAGGCATTTCTCCTCAGGAACTCACAGAGCAAGCTGAGGGCACTGGGATTATGAAAATCACATTAAGGAAGGGCTTCAGATTCTGTTGCATGCAAAATTCAAACAAAGTAACAATTAAACTGGGCATCAAAACAGAAAAACTTTACAACTCAGGTCTTGAAATATTTCATTTTTGGGAAGATTAAACTAGACACTGTCTCCTTAAATTCTGTGGCTCTTTTCTAGTGACTTGGTAAGAATTAGAAAGCCCATTTCATCTTTACCTGAAAACTCAACAAAAATCACAGCTGGAATTCAATCAAATGATTTAGTCTTGTGGCATGGCTTTAGATTGTATAGATACAATTTAACATAACAAAACCATCCCTGAGCAGATGTAATTCCCTTGATAGTCCAAACATAGCCCCTCCTTTTTGCCTTGAGGATACCTTCGACAGACAACTACCAGTTTATTGGATAAATCAGGTGACAAGGTGAATGCCTGACTCTTGAATCTCCAAGTTCAATGACGTGAGAGGAGGATCATTTACAAGCCAGTGATTGAGTGAACAATATAAGCTTTGACAATCAGCAAGCACATCTCAGAGACAACCTTGAAACAACCCACATTAATAACCACAGTTCATAATCACTGTGATGCAAACTGTTGCCCAGAAGTCTCTGCACAAAACGGCTTGTTTTACGTTACCTCACATTCTAATCACATCATACCAGTATGTATTATTTGGGGAAAACAGCATACATGCAGATGATTCAAACTTTAATTCTAACCCTTATTACTAACATACCTTCATAAAGAAACCTGTCCTTACTCATGCACACATTACTGGACACAATTCTATTCTCAGAGGTGTAATCTTGTCTCAAAGGCCTTCACAATTACCATAAGCTGCCCAATGCAAGTCTTTAAATTTAAGCATTCATCTAAAAAAAAAATTCACTTTAAGTCTTTACAGTCAGACATTCACATATGTCTCTGTCAGGGTTTTGATAATTAATTTAATTATCAGTCTTTTCACTTACCTCTGGTGCCCGATACAGTAATGTCTGCAGTTCAAAGTCATCATAGTACAAAGACAGCTCATCATAGACACAGTGGATAGCATTACCAAAATCAATCACCTTGACACCAGATGACAGGTCCCCTGAGACAAGAAAGATGTCATCAATCACAATCAATCAAGTGTATCTAGGGTGTTACATGCACATAATAGATGGAACAAGAGAGGGGGAAGTGGAACTGACCAAATTACAAGATATTTGAGAGGATGTTTGGTAAGCAACTTAATTCCGACTCAATTATGGAACATGATAGAGAGTAAGCATTGAACAGAGGGACTAAATCTAAGGCATACTGTGATTCTTCTGGGTACATGCCTGGGTAATAGACAGATAAATGGGAAGGGACTTTTACAATGTATGCTATTCTGTCATACGGCGGTAGTAAGTCTGAACCTAAATTCTAATGCTGTTTCTTTGTTGAAAGCAGTCCCTCTTACCATAAAGATTTCTTTCAAAATTTAGACTTTGCAAGGATCAGGTATAGCTACCCCAGTATATGTTTCTATGGTAACAGATGGATATTTTTGCAACCCCCTTTTTTTTTAATACAGAAACATAATCATACATGAAACATAATGCTAAGATAAGGCCTAGCTATCGGATAACATTGGTTGTTTCGCAACATCACTGCCTTCATACCATGATCATGTTCAATGAAAATCAAAATCTGAAATCCAGGATGACATTTTCATGAAATGGGATACCAACTGGGGTACCAACACCAAGACATTCACAATGCACAAATGAGGCAATGTAACTAGAGCAAAAAGTACAAGTATACTGTATACAGCAACTCAAAGGACAAACTAGTTTTGGATAACTGTTTACAAATTGAAAACATTCACAAAAAGCATGATGGTGAGGTATGGTTATCAAATCTCCCAGTAAGAATGCTGTATACCCTGACAGCTGACATGTCAGTATGGCCCAAGTGCCTCACTGGTCTAACAAGCTTATGTTCCTGTCAGGCTTTGAATTACCCAGGTGTACACATGCACCTGTGCATGTGGTTTTTCCAATGTGCATGTAGCAATCCAGCCTTTTATTTCTTAAAGTGTATATTTAGTGTGAATTTGTCAAGTGTATTATGCCCAAATTCCAGTTATTTCCAATATTATTTGACAGAAGAAAAATCAGATTGCGTGTACGTGTAATGTAACGTAACATTAAATAAATTGTGTTTTCCTCTCTTATACTGTTGTCTAAATTCTCTCGATCTCTAAAACATGTATGTATTCAGCACGAGCGCAAGATGTACATGTAAAGTGTCACCATGGCGTAGCCTAAATACAACCGCACAGAATGTTGGCATTACCGGCAACAGTGCGCGTACATGCAGCTAACTTTGTATGTAATCAACTTTACGTCTTGAGGAAAGACTAGCATAGGGGAATACAGCAATTGATGCATTGACACCAACCTCTATAGAGCGCATGAGTGCGTGTGTTGTATGCTTCCCTCCCATTTTGAAACGTATGTAATACATGTACACATTACGTTTATCGTATCTTGTGTTTACATGGTCTTTTGACAGCTTAGTGCCCACATGCGTTTGATACGGGCACTCTTTGACAGTTCTACAAAGTGCAATGCCGAAACAAATACTGCTAATATTTTAGAAAGAAAGAGCCAAAAAGCGGTGGATCCCAATCCGGCAGCCTCGTTAAGTCTGGCGGAATCGAGGCTCCCGAAATCTTCCCTAGAAGACCTGATGATTCCGGACCCTACAACCAGCATGATGACAACAGGCCGCTGCCATGCCTGCTCAGGTTGCTGGTCTCTTGCATGGCACCACTAGTCCCACAAATTATTTCAATGAGCAAAGATAGAGTAGTCAGGTACATGTAGCTTGCAATTAGGTACACATGCAGGGTAACCATAGTAGCAATACAGTTGCTATTTTCCATTCTTTTAATTATTTCTTATATTTAAGCTAATGGTGCATGTAACTTTTCGGAGGCGCACGTAAACCTTTTAAATTGCATGCACTGGTGCAGGTAGAATATTTTTTCTAATTCGAAGCCTGGTTCCTGTGTGGTAAGTTGAACTGGAACTGCAGGCATACAGGTACATGTATGTACATTCACCTGATGCCAGTGATGAGTGATAGAAGCAGCTCTTTAGGACGACCCAGGTATCCAGATCAATTAACCAGGCTCTTACAAGAATAAATCTAAAAGTATGAATCAAAAAGGCCCTTGATGGCAACACAATAGAAAGCTCTATGTAAACTTGGCAGACTGTTCAAGTCAAGTTCCTACCCTTGGACATGCCAACATCCTGAGGTGTAACAACATGGACAAGCGAACAGGTTCATGCCTATTAACCAGATCTGTATCACACACTGTACATGCACTTTATACACTAGCTCTCTTATTTTTATTTTCAAATTTAAATTTCTTATGAATCTTTGACATGATCACTGTTGTAAATTATTTTATTTGATTTTGTAGTTGTGATACTCTCCGATTTTAAAGTGTGAAGTGTAATTTTTGTATATTTTAAACTTATAATGCTCGATTTTTAACAGTTTGTAGTCTATGTCCTGCAAATTCCAGTTTTCAACTTTGTGAAATTTTTATAATTTGTTTCTTGTGAACTGCTGGGCATCAGTGGAAAACAGCTTATGCTGAGCTGATTAACGCAGGATAAACAAGAATGAATATTCAAAATAAAACAAGCTTCTGCCTAGGTTCATTGTTAACAGTGTTATCAATACAATCATGCGCTAGAAGCAGGATTTTGATCCCTAACACTGTAAACCAATCATACATGTATACTTCAAAAGAGCAAGGAAACGGTCTTATAATCTTCCCCTTTAACCCTTATAAATTTAATGATTTTGAGTTGTAGGACATGATTTAATAGGAAAATGCTGATTATCTATAAAATCAGCTCAACCGACTACAGGAAAATGTGAGGAAAATTCACCTCCAGAACCATTTTCTCACTGCTGGATTGTGTTCATTAACCTTCTTATGATTTAAAATACCGGTACATATCAAATCCCTTCACAAATCCATTAACTACACTGTAGCCTTGTGATGATCCTGGTGATCCATTGATCCTGGCCTTCATGAGATCAAATTATTTAGGAAGTCTGTTACTGACTCAGGGTTTTGTACACAGTCATCAGGTAATTCATTCACAAATTGATTCTTTTAGAGCCACAACCAAGCACAGCGATTACCAAGTACTTCAAAGGATTGGACTCCTGGCAGAGCCCCGTAGCTGAAGGAACAACACAACATTATCTAATTTGGTTTGTCCATTTATTTGTTTCTTTGTTTCAATTTCCTCCCTCACATTAAGTGTGTGGGTCTGGTCTACAAGAGAATATCTAACCACACATATGCAAATTTCCCATGCACCTATTATTATTCGCTGAAAGGGTTTGATCAAGCGTAGTGAACCCTAATTCCCACAATGCAACACGGCTTTGCCGCCATTGTCCTTTGTCATTTTTTTCAAAAGCAACACCAAAGGGTCGGAGCCAAAGTAAGGAGGACGGGTCAGAGAAAAACTGTTTGGGTGTGTATTCTCTAGTAGACCGGACCCACGCACTTAATGTGGGAGAAGAGTCTACGGCACTCTACCTACCCAAACAGTCACTACATACATGTATGCGGAGTGGCACCGATCTAGGAGTAAGGTTGGCTAAAAAAGTGGTAGTCATGAGCACAAAAATATGCACTAAGAATAGAACCAAATTGATGCACTAGGAGGTAATAAAGACCAAAATCACCAGAAAGGGATCTTCAGGCTGATTACCCCTTCGTTCGGTCTGTAGACAGCTCTTTTGACCTCTGCACTGCTGACAGTAGGATTGTCCTGCCATGTGCAGAGTCGCTCTGCAAGACATCTCTTAGGTAGCAGGAGGTGAATGTAGACAGCGATTTCCAATATGCAGCCTTACAGATGTCTGCAATGGAAATCCTAGAGAAGTAAGACTAGGAATGTAGATACAGCTCTTACGTCATCGACTCTGATACAGTGTTGCCTCTGGTTATCAGGTTGTGATGGCAAGTCTGGATTGGCAAATTTAATAGCTGAAACTATCCAGCAGGCTATGATGTCTCTGGGCGCTGGTCGGTGTCGTCTGGTAGAAGTAATAAAAAGTTTGGAAACCGTATCTCTCAGGTTCTTGGTTTTGGCCAGATACCACTTCAGTGTACGAACCAGGTACCAGAGCTTGTCTGCATCGTCTCCCGTATGTGAAGCAATGGTTGGTACAAAAATGTCCAGTGGATCAAAAGAAGGAGACTGGTTTTTGGTTAGAAAGCCAATGGATGGAATGAGGCTGACACCGTGTGGATCCCAATGTAGGTGTCCCTCAGCAATGGAGAGGGCTTGAAGTTCAGAACCACTGCTGGAAGTGGCCATGGCTAGAAGGAAGGCTAACTTAACAATGGCATGTAGTAGGTTGGTGTTACTTAAAGGTTTGAAGGGGGTACCAGTAAACATCCTTAGAACTTTGCTCAAATCCCATGACATGACTAAGCACTTTACATGTAGTCACTCAATACACATACCATGCATGAGATAATGATTATCAGAAATAGTGGAGCCGTCCGTGACACCAGAATGTATGGTGGCTGAGGCCGATCTATAGTTGGGGATCATGGAGACTTGTAGGCCAGAATTGAAAAGGTACATGAAAAAGTCCACAATAGTCCTTAAAGAAGTGTTGGATGAAGCCACAACTTGTTCGTCACACCATGTAGCAAAATGAAATATTCAGCTGTCATACAGTTTGTGGGTTGAATAGCATCGTCCCCATGCAGCCAAGGCTACAGCGTTGCCAGAAAGTCCTGCTGAGCGGAAGGATGTTGGACAATGTCCAGCACGTTAGGTGAAGACCTACTGGTGCCAGATGGAGAATTCCTGACTTAAGCTGCTGGAGGATGTCTGGTCTTGTCGGAGGGATAAACGGCCGGTGAACCAGAAGCCTGGTCAGCCTGGGGAATCAACACTGACACAGCCAGACAGCGGCAATGAGCAGAATCTGACGGTGTTTGCACTCTATCTTGGATATGACCCGTGGAACAAGAGAGATGGAAAGAAAGATGAACACTGGTAGTCT